GCATGGATTTTGTTTTAGGATTACCCAAAACTATTAGGAAACTTGACTCTGTGTGTGTAGTAGTGGAACGATTCTCTAAAATAACACATTTCCTCCCATGCTCCAAAACTTTCGATGCCTCTAGGTTTGCTAAATTGTATTTCGATGAAATTGTTAGGCTCCACGAATTACCTAAAACCATTGTGTCATATCGAGATGTTAAGTTTATAAGTTATTTCTAGAAAATATTATGGCACAAAATGGGGACAAAACTTCAATTCTCTACCGCCTTTCACCCCCAAACAGATGGATAAAATGAAGTTGTGAATAGGAGTCTAGGAAATCTGTTAAGAACCTTGGTAGGAGAGAATATCCAGGATTGAGAATCTAGACTTTCTATAGCTGAATTTGCCTACAACAACTCTGTTAACCGTACTACGGGGCTAAGTCATGCTGAAATCATATACGGGTACCAGCCTAGACAACCTATAGATTTAATCCCTATGCGTCCTAAGGTTAGAACATCTGAATCTGCATCTGCATTTGCATCTCACATCCAGGAATTGCATAAGGAAATTAATAAAAGAATTGAACAAAACAACGCCAACTTTAAGGTTAATGCTCATCACAAGAAAAAATTTAAAGAATTTGAACTTTGAGATTTTGTAATGGTACGGATTCATTCGTAGCGGTTCTCTCAAGGATCCGTTAAAAAGCTGTATGCTATGAGTGCATGTTCTTTTAAAATAATTTTAAAAATAAACAATAATGCTTATTTGCTAGACCTTCCTGAAGGTTTTAATATAAATTTTGCGTTTAATATTGAAGATCTAGTAGCCTTTGAGGGACCAGAGTTTTACGCTTCCAACAGGGGCTGAGCTAGAATTTTTTAGATGTGGGGGCGAAGATCATTGATGTAAACAAATTCTAAACATTTTTCATCCGGGCTTGGAATCGGCATAGCAGGCTTAAATTTTTTTTTTAAATAGTTAGTTTCATTATAAAAAGATAAAATATATGATAAAACAAAAAACTTACATATTATCTATAATTTCTCCCCCGAGTCTTCATTTTTTGAAACCGTTGTACAATCAATTAATTGTAAATGTTATTAAATATATCCTTCTTATAGCTTTTAAAGTAGCTTTATAGTATAAAAATTAAAATTTCTGTACTTCAAAAATTATTTTAAGAAGCATTAAGAAAGACATACTAGATAAAGCCTTAGTTGCCAGATAGAGGGTTAGATTTTTGTTATGCTCCTTATAGCAATCAAAGTGTTTTTGCATGGCTAAAATAATAATTGTGTTATATATATATATATATATATATATATATATATATATATATATATATATATGAAGAATTTTCATTTAAAATTTTAAAAATATTTTAACTCAAATAAAATTTCACTTTTAATTTTTTTTTTAAATTTAATTTAATTTTTACAAGTTAAAATAGAATCCTAAAAATAAAATTGAAACAATTTTTGAAAAAAGAATCATAAAAAAAAACTAAAAAAAATTATTGGTTAAAGGGTTTTTTGCTTTTTGTATGTAATACGAAGTGAATTTTAGCTTTTATTTGCAATACAACTACGAAGGGAGGAGAGAGAGAGAGAGAGAGAGAGAGAGAATATTCATAGATGAGAGAACTCAACCGAATGATTTTTAGCTTTTTTCCATTGCTTGCTTGTATATAAAAATTTTACAAAAAAAAAAAAAAAATCATCCAGCCAGTGGGAGCACGTGCCCCCACCCTGCCTCCGCCCCTGCCTGGCAATCCACTACATGAGCCTTGTGTAAACCTACATAGTGAGAACCCTAGCCTACCTCCACTCCCCAATCTGCCTCATTTACCTAATGCGGAGAAGATCAAAGTAATACTAGACGATAAAATCATTTCCACTAAAGAAGGTGGACATCAAAGGTATTTGGTTCAATAGGCAGGTAAACCGGAAACGGAGAACACGTTGATCGATCACGAAGAGTTGCATAGATTGGACCCTGATATTCTAGAGTTATACGAGAGCTCCCAAGACAATTAATCGACAGGGTCAAGCTTTCTCCCACCCGAGGAGAATGATGAGGACACCAGTAGAAGATTACAATATGTCTATCATAGGAGACATCGCAGATCAACGGCCACGATCAGGAGCATCTATTTATGAGTTATTTTATGCTATTATATTAGTATTTTTTTTTATTTTTGTTTTAGTTGACCTTTGTATCCCTATGAGGGAGTTTAATGAGTTGTAGCTTGGAGGGCATATGTGTTTTTGAGTTTTCTTCATTTTTGAGGCCTATATATAGCGGCCCTAGTCTTTGTAATGATTCCTTAATAAAATTCAGAATTTATTTCTCTCGAGTTTGTGAGTTCTTGAGTGGTGAAGTCCCTAAGTGTGAGCAAAACAATACCCACCAGTCGCAGAGGTGCTTCGAGCTATTGGTCCGACTTCTCCCTTGCTTCAAACCGCCGGCCAAATCCACCCTTTGGGCAAATCCGCCGACCATCCCCTTTCCAGACTCCAGTCGCCGGCCACCAACCAACCTCCCCTCCCCCTCCCCCGTCGGCCCCTCTCCCTAACCCACCATAGTGCCGGCCTACCCATCCCAAATCGACCCTCCTTCACCCAACCCAAGCCCTAGCCGCCGCCCCCTTCCTTGGATTCTCTTGATGATGATTTCAATCATCATAATTGCTTGCCTAAAATAGCTAAGTCAATTTGGTAAAGACTTTAATCCTATTTGAAATTCAAATTTGAATTTTCAAATACTTTCCCAAATTAACCTATCTAAATTAGGAAAGTGCCTAAATCAAAGTCTAATTTAATTTAAATTAGATTTGATCCCATTATTTGATTCTTAATTTAAGATAATGAATTATGAAGCATTTAATTCCCTCAGCAATCTCCTCTTTCCCCATACATGCCGCCGGCCCACCCTCTCTCTTTCTCTAATTTAGTATTCAAATTAGAATCCCGATTTCCCTCCACTCATTAATCCTTTAGATTAATTACCTTCCTTGGTAATTATTCTAAAATCCCAAACCCCTCCCTAACCCTACCAGTCCCTTTCTCTAGCCGAACCCACCTACACTGTCGGCTCCCCACTCCTCTTTCCCTCTTACATTAGCCGCCGACCTTCAACAAATCCAAGATGCACAATAAAGAAGACCCCCGTATTCATGGATGGCCGATCCTGAAGCCGACCACGGATTTGCATACAACTCTCAAGGACAAATCGACATCCTTCAATCGCCCTTCTTTGACCCCGATTGGGAATTCAAAGATTTCGTCGAAGACTACATAGATCGCATACTCATTCATCTCGCCGAGACGATCGACGAACAACGACCATCCGGACAGTGGCAACTCGTCAGACGTCCACATGCGCCTCCTTCTCTGGCTACTCTCCTGTGGATCAAGATTGTTAGCGTCGTAACCATCTTTGTGGCATCGTTTGGTTTGATGAAAATCTTTCTCCGCTAAAGCCCTCATAGAGCGTGAGTGAGGAAGGAAACTCTAGGTGAAAGCTCTTGATATTAACATGTGGATTATTATTACGAGTACATCTAGCTTTATCGTATTTTTTTGATGTTGTTTTAAATTGATATGTTCTCCTACAAGTGTAATTGCATGCCAGAGCAAAACCTCAACGAAAAGTTCTTAAATTATTTTATGTGGTTCATTAATCTTAAAGAAGCGAGCTTACAATAATTTTATTGTTTCCTTACAATTCGTGGTCGTTTCACATCACTTGGGGTCCTTTTCAAATAAGTACGAAGATTAAATCTAATGCTTCTATTCTAGATTTGCCTCCCGAGATGACTGTTATATTTTCAACAAAAAAATTTATGCCTCATCATGAAACTTTTGAGCCTCTAAAATCATCAATTCATTCATCTAAAAGAGGGGATTATACTATATTTATTGTTATTGATTCTATAGCTCCTAGCACACAAGCTTTCTTTATTGTCATGAACAGGTTACCCTTGGAATGAGAGGAATGAGATACAAAGCTCATATTCTTGATCAGTAGTAAAGGTACACATCTATCAGATCTCATAGCTGACGAATAAGGAATTAAAAAAGATTGATATCTTAAATTATTATATTGTTCCAAACTCTTGAGAAAAACATTATTTGTACCCTAGAAGAGACAATACAATATAATTATTATTGATCGATCATTCAAACAAAATCACTTAAATAAGCTCAATTTCTCATGGACCAACTACAAATAGCCTAATTACAAAACAAAAGAGATAAACTAGACTTATATTCAGGTTTCGCAGCCCATACTATATTTAGCCAAATGTGCATTATTTTTTTATTATTTTGAATGTGACAAGAATACAAAGCGTTTGAGCATGTCAGGATTTTTTTTCTTTAAATAGAGTTTATGATGGACTTTATTATCATGATCATTTGATTAATGAGTGGGGAAGAAGATTCCGGTTTCTTCCCCACCATTCATCAGTCCATGTCGTATGCAAGTTCACTCCGAGTTGTGTACAATAATTCTTCTCCCTCTGTTCTTAGTCTTACTCTCAATTCAGGTGTTTTTTCAAGGTTCTATTTCACTAGAGTGTTACCTTCCTCGTTCCAATCAGGCAAAGAAGAAAACAACTGGATCAACCCTCCAACAAAAGCTATGATAAATTGACAACGCATAAAAAGAACTAATAACAAATACGACAAACTGGAAGACAAACGGCAACAGGAGGGATAAGAATTTAGTGAATTCTGTGATTAAGAATGTACTAGCCTCAACTGTCCACATTAAAAAAAGTCTCGCCTGAATTGTCTAGATTAAACAAAGGCTAAATGCTTATATTCTAAAAATGAATCTCCTAGACAGATAAGGCGTTCAGGTGGCACCGCCAAGCTGTTGTTGATAATGATGAGGTGGCTCTTCAAATTGCAAAATTCCCTTGGGTTCTAGTGCTTTGATAAGTGTACAAGAAAACATAAAGAAGTGGAGTTCAAACAATTAGCAAAAGCACATGATGAAAATTACCTCTTTCTGACGTTCATGGCAAATGTAACATTTCAGGATTCCCCTATATTCACTTTTCTCTTGTTGAAGCTCTTCCAACACGACTGAGCCTTCAGTTTGTGATCTAAGCGATGTAGCTTTAATTTTCATCACTGCTAACCCCTCATCTATCATCCTTTTGTTGAACCTACTCAAGTTAGCATGCATTCAATGAGAATCAGGCAAGGTTCATCAACCATACAATACTAGAAAACTCGATTACCTCTCCCTCTCTAACTCTATTAGAATGTCGGTGAACTCCAATCTACTTCTCTCCACTTGTACTTGCATTTCATTCAGAGAATTCCTCAACTTATGAGATTCTGTGCAAACATCAGATAGTATTCTTTGTGCATTACCCAAGGCAATAGAACTTTGCCGCCCATCATCAGCTAGTTTTGCAACCTGATCTGAACAGACTTTCAACTACAGAAGAATGCAAGTCAGACCCCACGTAACTGCTGTAGATTATTAGTTTTGCAATTTCTTTTCCAGAAAATTACCTCCTCATCAAACCTCAAAGCTTTCAGACCATAGAGATGCATCAACAAATCTGCTTCTTGAAGCTTTTCATCCATGGTTCCTACTTCCCTATAAACAACATCATGCAGCTGTCTTGCTTTGATACCCTCCATTAAAAGCTGAAACAGGAAAAGGCAATGAGTTCAGATGAACAAGAATACCAAGCATGATCCCTAATTTGAAATGGCTGAGAAGCTGAATAGAAATGAGATTCTAAACATATGAAATGGGCAGATTCATCAAAACATAGGCCTCACCCAAACTGCTGTGGTATGCTGTAGAAGAAGCAGGGTAGAACTAAGGAAGAACAAATAGAGAAACAGAGAACTAGAGCAAAGCTCATAGAGTATACTATTCCAGTATGAAAATTTTCCTCCCTCCCCAACAAGGATTAAAGCTACTGTGTCGTGAGTTCTTTCCTCACGCTGAAAATGGCTAAGGACCACCAAAAGCTACTTCGTACTATTTTACCTAAAGAAGCAAACTAGGATAGTGGGAAGGCAACACAACAGTAAATTAAGAAATTGAAAAATAAGTATACTAATAGCTGAACTATGATGCACCGCATCATTCCCTCCCACAGTTTGAGGAGTCCGACTCGGTGGATGAAATGACGGTTGTAGTCTGATCTGGAGGATGGTAAGTTGAAATATCCGCCACGTTGAACGTAGAGGAAGTGTTATACCCCGACGGTAAATCTACAATGTAAGCGTTATCATTAATTCGGCGGACAATTGGTATAGGACCAATCTTCCGACAACTTAATTTGGAATAGGTACCAGGTGCGAATCTCTCACGCCTCAATCGAACCATCACCACTTCTCCAGGTTGAAAGAGCTTGGCACGCCTGTGTTTGTCTACCGCCACTTTGTACTGATTGTTAGACTCAAGAAGGAGCTGGCGCACGTCCTGAAGCATAGTGGCAAATTGGTCCGCAAGTGTGCTAGCCGATCATCTATGGCACTTAGGCAATACAACTATATCAATTGTGTGATTGGGCGGTTTGGGGTAAACCACCTTGAACGGTCACTTTCCGGTGGACCAATTGGGCATGATGTTGTAGGCAAACTCAGCTTGTCCCAATAATTCATCCCACTGTTTTGAGTGCTCCTGGACCAGACACCTGAGCATATTGCCTAATGTGTGATTCACCACCTCGGTTTGGTCGTCGGTTTGTGGATGATAGGTTGAGCAGAGCTTGATCTCGGTTTGCAACCACTTCCATAATTCCTTCCAAAAATGGCTCACAAACTTGACATCACTATCTGACGTGAGACCGCGGGGAATACCGTAGAGGCGAACGACCTCGCCTAAGAATAATTTGGCCACTTTTAGAGCGTCGAATGTCTTCCGACATGCAATGAAGTGCACCACTTTTGAGAACCTATCCACAACGACCATTATGGAGTCATTTCCTCATCGGGTGCGAGGCAAGCCTAGAACAAAGTCTAAGCTTAAATCTTCCCAAATAGTTTCTGGTACTGGCAGCTGCAAGTATAGGCCTTGGTTTTGTCCGCCCCCTTTCTAACTCTGGCAAACTGGGCAGCGCTCCACAAGTCTCATCACATCTCTCCGGAGATGAGGCCAAAAAAACCTTGATTGCAACTGAGCTAATGTGTTGCTTCGGCCGACATGAGCAGCTAAGCCTCCACAGTGGAGCTCTTTAATCAACTGCGACCTCCAGGAAGAGTCAGAAATACACAATTGATTGTTTTTAAACAAGTAGCCATGCCTTATGGTGTAATTTGCTATAGGACAATTATCTTGGCAAGCCTTCCAAATGGTACAGAAATCTTCATTGCCAGCATACAATTCTTTGAGACATTCCAATCTTGTGATTTCGGTTTGTAATTGTGTGAGAAGGGTAAGCTTCGGCTGCGAGCAACTTCGGCGTAAAGCATCCACAACGACATTTTGAGAGCCTGTTTTATGCTTCAAAACAAATGAGAATCGTTGTAGATACAACAACTAGCTGGTTTATGTGTTTTTGGCTATTAATATATTGCAAGGCCTTATGATCACAACACAACACAAAGTCCGCGTTCAAAAGATAATGTTCTCACTGCTTTAGCGCCCTGACGATGACATATAACTCCTGCTCATAGACGGTCCACTTCTGTCTCGCAGGGCTCAGTTTTTCACTAAAGAACTCGACCGACTTATTGTCTTGACTCAAAATAGCACCAATGCCGGTGGCAGAGGCATCGGTGTCCACATAGAATGGCTTTCCAAAGTTTGGAAGAGAAAGTACTGGAGCTGAGGTTAACGCGACTTTTATGGCTTCAAAGCTGCGCTACTGTTCCTCCGCCCACTGAACCTGTTTAAGCTTTAAACAGTTTGTGATAGGCGCCATGAGAATGTTGAACCCACGGATGAACCGACGATAGAAGTCTACGAGGCCATGAAAGCTACGCACATCAAAGAAGGATTGCGGGACCGGTCAGTGAATTATTGCTGCTATCTTCTTCTGATAAACCTGCACACCCCTTGCGAATATTAGGAAGCCAAGGACATAAGTACTGGACACTGCGAACTTGGCAAGGTTGAGGTGAAGTTGATTTTGTTGTAAGACTGTTAAGATTTGATGCAAATGCTCAAGGTGTTCCACAGTGAGCTACTGTAGACAAGAATATCGTCGAAATAGGCGACGCAGAACTTGTTAAGAAATGGTTTGAGGATCTCCGTCATCAACCTCATGAAAGGCGAGGGCGCGTTGCAGAGCCCGAATGGCATCACCTTCCACTCATACAAGCCATGACACATTTTGAATGCGGTTTTCCATTCGTCACCAGGTAGAATCCTTATCTGTTGATAACCGCTTCGGAGATCCAATTTAGAGAATATGGTGGCATTCATGATCTTTTCAAGCAGCTCATCCACTCGTGGGACTGGGAAGCGAAATTTCACCGTAATCTTATTAATAGCCCGACTGTCCACGCACATACGCCAGCTCCCATCCTTCTTGGGCATCAATAATGCAGGAACGGCGCAGGGGCTGAGGCTGGGTTGTATAAATTGCTTCTTCAATAATTCCTCCACGATCTGTTGTAGGATTTGCTGCTCCTTAGGACTCAATCGGTAGTGCGGTAGATTTGGAAGGGTCGCACCTGGATGGAAGTCAATCTGATGTTGCAATGCCCTTAGCGGAGGTAGTTTAGACTTTAAACAGTAGTGTCTCGAACAGCACATCCTGAAAATGCTCCAGCATTTTTTGGATTTTGGAATTCGGCTCCACTGCCCCATGTTCTGCCTCCTGTTCTTGAACCACTAATGCACAAATAGGTAATTGTTGCTTCCAGGAAGAGAGGAGTGTGTTACCTGTTACAATGTGCATGGCGGCTCTCGCATCAACATCGTTGGCTTGATTATCAGTGAAGTTCGATATCAACCTCAGCCGTTTGCCCTTCCACTCGAAAGAATGTGTTAGCTCTGCCATCATATAAGGCTCCGACGTCGAATTGCCAAGGATGTCCCAAGATCAAATTACAAACGTCCATGTCCAAGACATCACAAAGTACTTCACAAGAGTAATGCTTGCCTATAGAGAACACAACTCGGCACATCTCAGACACGATAATGTCCATTCCTTTCTTCACCCAACTTATCTTGTATGGTTGCGGATGCTTAGTCGTTTTGAGGTGAAGTGCTTGGACGACGGCTTGGGACACGATGTTTTTTGTGTTTCCACTATCTACAAGCAGGTCACAAACCTTTCCATTAATCGTGCATCGTGTCCAAAAAATGGAGTGGCGATGTGAGTTGTTTGATCGTCGAGGTGCCAGCGATAGCTTTTCTAGAACACAGACAAGCGGATCACCCTTATCGCCTTCGACATCCTCTACATCCATAGGTTGATTTTCTTCCGAAATTCCGCCATCTTCTTCACCCTCCGCATCTAAGAGCTGAAACTACTGCTGATTGGGACACACATTAGACTTGTGTCCGACTTGAAAACATCGGAAGCATTTGATGACTTGGGGCTTTGCATAATGATTTTCCTTAATTATAGTTACAGGTTTTGGCTGCACTCTCGGCTCCATTGGTGATTTACTAATACTTCCTTGAGGATTGCTTTCAAGCTACCCTGGGGACTGCCGTGCTAGACTGTTTGCCCGAATCAGTGCCTTGCTCAAAATACTATCGCCTGGACGAATGACTGCGGGACTGCCAGTCCAATTGCATTTCCGCCTTGAGGGCAAAGTTGACGGCCTGCCAATGACCACACCACATTCAATTCTAGCTTGTCTCAGAAGGTGTCTTTCAGCCCCCCAACATACAGGGCTCTTAATTGATTAGTAGACTCATGGAGGTCATTTCTAGGGCACAGTCTGTAGAATTCTTCGGTGTATTCACTCACAAAGCAACCGCCTTGGGCGCATTGTTGATACTTCAGGTAGAGCAATTATTCGTAGCCGGTTGGGAGAAAATTTGAGCGTAACAATTTCTTTATATGTGCCCAACTTTGCACTTTACCTCGGCCCCTCTCTCCGACGGGACTGAGATAAGTGTGACCACAATGCACTTGCCCCTCCCTTCAATCTACAAGCAACATATTTGACTTGCTTCTCGGGTTCAACCTCCAAATAATAAAAAAAAAATTTCCACAGCCCTCTCCCAATCGAGATAATCCTCGATGTGCAATCGCCCCTCAAAGAAGGAAATGTCGAGCTTAGCTCGAAACTCACTGCATTGCCTATCAAACGCCATCGGTCTCCGCTGTTGGTATTGCGGTGCCGCATGGTCTACGTCCGAATCCTGAAATCCATTTGGAAAGTCGTCTTCAAATTCATCTTCCGAATCGGATGCCTCCTGAACATTGGGGAATGGCCGCCGTCCACGAAATCCACGTCCGCCCTGCCTATTAGGAGTCGTAACTAGCCGCAAAGGTCTGGGAGCAGTTTCTCTTACCGGAACTCCCCCTACACGATCTCGCCGCAGTTTCGCCGCCAGGCGATTGACGCTTAAGGCTATGCCATCCAACCTTTTCACAACATCAACGTGAGCGTCCCAAAGAGCCTCCAAGCTGCGATCCTCATCGCCCGACATACGCTTGCTACTCTCTGCCATCTCACCAAGCCGCTGGCTCTGATACCAAAACTGATGTGGTATGCTGTGGAAG